CGCCCCGTGGGTGCGAGAGAGACGGGACGAAACAGGTAATGCTGTTCGGAATCAGCCTTCTGGGGCTGGGGCGGCCCTTTGCAGGTAACACGGCGCCGGGGTTCGGGAGTCCGGAGTCCGAGGCGAGGCGAGGCGAGATAGTCGACAAAGCAGCGGACAGTGCACAGCTCAGCACACAGCACGGGGCACGGCACAGCGCGGCCCCAGGCCCCAGCCCCGCGCCCAGCCCGCAGCCCACAGGCCACCAACACTGCAGCATTCTCATGGTGTCGTCGTCGTCCCAGTTATGGCATTTCTTTCTCCCTCTCGGACCTCAACTTCGGCGAAATGCTGAGAAACTGATCCCGAAACCCCGCCGGCCCCACCGGCCCGGCCCGGCCCCGCCACATATCAGGTCCCCGCCCCCGTGGCCCCCGTGGCCCCCGCCCCGCGGCCAGCCGAGGGCCGCCGAGGCCCCTCAAACCCGGCTGAAACCTGACGCGACGCGCCCTCCTCGGAGAAAGGCCCACTGCCGGACCGCGACGAACCCTCGGCCCGACCCACGGCGGGGACGGGACGCCCCGCCCCGCCCCGCCCCGCCTCGCCCCGCCTCGCCCTGCCAGCCCCGCTGTGTCTGCTTGGGCGCGCAAAAATAGAGCACCGCCCCGCGTGCTTGGCACGTCCAGGAGGAAACATCAGGACGTGCGAGACGCGGCGGTGCGGCGCGCGCCAGGGAGCTCCTTTTGTGCGGACGCACCACCATCAGCAGCGCCACCCACCATGCAACGCGAATACTACCATCACCACATCCCCACATTTACCATCACCACCAACGCGACCACCACACCACCACCAGCACCACCACCACCTTGCACGGCGAGTCCGGATTCCCTTGAACGCAATCTTTCCGCCGCGTATAAGCTTGCATAGCATTTTTCCCTCGGCCTCCTTCGCTCTTTCCTCTTTACACTTTTCCGCTCCGCCCCCCCCCCTCCCCCTTCCGCCCCCGGCCCCTGGTCCCGCCTCCGGCCGCCCTAATCTCACTGTGCCCGCTCTGTCCGTCCAGCCCTAGGGTCCCCGAGGGCACGTTCCATGCCGGCAGCAACAATGGCAGAGCATCTCAGCGGGGGAGGGGGCGGGGGCAGTGCGGGGCAGTGCGGGGCAGTGCGGGGGGCTTAAGAGGGCATCTGGCACGGGACAAACTTAACAGTCCGAGCAATTCGCCATTCGCTATCTCGTTGAAACGTGCGCTGCCGCCGCCGCCGCTTTTACTACACGCTCTACTCTAGTTATTACTGCAGCTGCTCCTCCACGGCCTCCACGGCCTCCACGGCCGCCCCACACACTGCAGCTGCAGCTCGCCGGCAAATAAGATAAAAGCCGAGTCTGGAAGGGCGGGATGAAAATTAGGCGTGGCTGGGGGGACGGCGTCGATGATGCACTTCGGGGGCCGTCCTTAAAGGGCGCTCGACGCGCAGCCGGCTTGGCGGCGCTCATTTCAAACGGCCGCCTTTGCTGTGTCTGGAACAGGACACCGACCGAGCGCTGCAGGACTTGGCGCCCCAGCGCGGGCTCTGCACACAATAATGTCGTTAGCGGTTTACCGCCGTTGCCAGTGGCAACGTAACAAGCACTGCAAGTACACTGCGCGGGTGGCGACGCAGCGACGCAGCCACGGGCGAAAGACCGCCAGGTCAGCCAGTCCCAAGGATGTGTCGAAAAGCCGACTGGTTATGCCCCCGAGGCGGCGCGGCCGGTACAGGCAGGCGAGCAAGTGGCCAATGGAGCCCCGGGGGACTGACTAGGGTCGCTTGCCGCGGGGGGCGGGCCGGGGCGGGGACGGGGCGGTGCGGGGTGTGCGCCCGAACACGGATTGAAATTGGCTCTGGGCCCTCGGAGTCCGCCGGTCCGCCTCGCCTTCCCTCCCCGCCCCGCCCGCCCCGCCCCTTTCCCGGAGGCACATAATTACTGCTGGCTGGATAGAGACGGTCCCAGTCCCGCGCGTCCGCCGCGTCCGCCGCCCCGCTCCATATTTCCCTACTTTATTATCGACACTTCCTTCTTAACCAAATCGCCGCGGAATTGCTGCCAACGAGCCTTGTTAACCGGGCGGTGGGGCGGCGGCGCGGCTCCCTCTCCGTTTTGCCTATTCCATTATGCTCTCCGGGCCAAATTTCTGGCGCCGTTTTAATTTTAATCAAACTCTGATTGGGGCAGAGGTGTGGCGCGGCGTGTCGTTTTTCGGGCCACTTTAATGAACGAGTCCAATATCGGATGGGCGTTCCAATTATCCGCGCGGAGGCGTCGTGTCGTTAGGGCGTTCGCGAGGCGAAGTGCGAAGCGCCAAGCGCCAAGCAAAGCGTCAAGGGCTGCGAGGCGTCGGCCGTGCTGAGGGCCGAGAGACGGCCCTGCTCCTGTTTTGTTGAGAGAGCCGGAAGATCAAAACAGAACCGACAAGAGCCACCGCCACCGCCGGCAGCCGCCTGCCAAGTCGAGGGTAGGCAACCACGCGGACAGCCGTGCGCGGCGCGCTCGGGCACGGCCTACCTCGCAGGCGCCCGGCCCGGCCTATCCCCAGCGCGCTGGCGCTGACACATCACCGCGGCCGCGCCGCACTTTTAAAGGCGTGCGCGTGACGCGGTGCGTCAGCGACTTTAATGACTTCAACAACGACTTTCCCAAACAATAAGCCTCCCAAACTGCACGCAAAGTTCTTCGGTGTGGCGGCTGTATGGAACAACAACAAAAACAAAAACAAGTTGAAAAAAATAAATTAGCCGCGCAGCCGCGTAATCGCCAAGTCAAGTGCCACTTATTTTTTCCTCGGCGTGCACCGCTTCGCCGCCGCGTTCCGGACAGTCGCAGCCGCCCTCGTCAAGAGGCAGCGGACAGCCATGGACAGTCCCGGGCAGCCCCAGAAAGCGTCGGACGGCCGCAGACAGACTCCCACGCGGCGACGACACTTTTCGGCGCAAATGCGGCGGCCCTGGCCGGCCCGGCCCTCGTGCATAATGAGCGGCAAGCGGTCGTAAAATGCTTCGAGGCGGGATATTCAAATGCGTCCTCGTCCTCGTCCTCGTCCCCAGCCTCGTGGCGGCGTGCCGCGGCGTGCAGTGCTTACCGTGCAGGGCGCAGCGGCTGGGCCATCCCGCCTCCTCCCGGCTCCGCGCTCCGCTCCTCGCGATGCTGGCGGCCGTCCGGCGGGGACGGGCACGGCCGTGCGCCGCGGCGTGCGTCCGGGGCAGGGCGACACGCGACGCGCGCCCCGTGCCCGCGCGCCGACTGGCCCAGTCTGAGCCAATCAGCGCACGGGAAGCGGGCCGTGCCGGGCGGGGTGCCGGGCGGGGTGCCGGTGGCGTCTCTGCTCCATTTCCGGTGTGGTGGCGCGCGTGCCGCCCTGCCCCGGGCGTGCTGCTCGCTGCTCGCGTTACGCAAGAGCGGCGCCGGGCAGGCCGCGCCGTGGCAGGTCGCGCTGTGGGCGATGGCGGGGCCGGCAGGGCAGGGTTGGGGTGGATTGGGACCAGGGCGCGACCGGCCCCGGCGGCGGCGCGCGGCGCACTGTGCCCCAACGCGCCAGCATCCCGCCACGCCCCCTCAGGGCCCCGCAGGGCCACAGGGCCTCAGGGCCACACGCCGCCGCCCAGGCCAGCGCCGCGCCCCTCCCGGCCCCGCCACCCTTCACAGGCCCGCCTCACCCCGTCGCCCCTTCGCCTTCGCACCCAGCGGCAGCGCGGCAGCCAGGCAGGCAGCGCGGGGACCTCGGCGTGCCGCGCCCTGCCGGCACTGCCTCCGCGCGCCGTGCCTCCGCGCCTCGATCTGCGCGTGAGGACAACGTGTTGCTTGGCTTCTACAGCCCCGCTGCGCCCCGCCGCGCCCCGCTCCGCCCCGCTCCGCCGCCCCCCGCCCCCGCCAGCGCTTTTGTGGCTCTTTTTCACTGCACGGGGCGCCTCGCCGCACGACGCCGCGTGGCCGCGCACACCCCCTGTCGGTTAGCCATTTGCCGCCAAAGAGCAAATTGTGCGGACTCTCGGGGGGCGTTCCCGTCGTCCCTGAACCGGGGGCCGGGGCAAGGCCGGGGGCGCCGCGCCGCTCCAGAGTGTCGAGAGTGGAGACGGCTTTATGTAATGGAACGCTTTTTATGTGCTTCTTCCGTCGTGCAATCTGGACATGGACATCTCGAGGACGACGTCGCATTCACGCAGTTTGTTTTTGATGAGTTTCTTCGTCGTGTCGTCCGTTCTGCGAACTCGCTCGTCATTCCGTTTCTTTCCGAATCGGTTTAGATTGGTTGAATGAGTGGAGCGGTCATGGTGATAGGGTCCTGGCCCCATTCAGGGCCTGGCGTCACGGCACGTCTGGCCGCGGGCTTGGCCCAGAAGCGAGTAGCCTTTTCTCGCGCCTTTACCACGCCTCCGCTTGCCCCGCTCCGCTCCACACACAGCCCAGCACAGCCACTGCACTGCACAGCCCTGCGGCTGCCTGCGCTGCCTGCGGCCCGGCGGAGCGCATCGACCGAACTGGACGGCCACTTTATTGCCGTCGGGCCGCGTCTGGCTGGATTGGAGGCGCCTCGCCTCGCCTTGAAGCGTCCACTGGAAGCTCTGGAGGTTCTGGAGGCTAGAGGCTCCAGCGCGAAAATGAGGGCGTGCTTTTTATTTTGCGGGCCTCGCTCCTCGCACCCCGCTCTGCCCGCCTGCCCCACGCCCTTCCCTGCTCGCGGCTGCGTGCTCGTGCTGCTGGCGCTACGCGCAGGCTACGCGTTCTGGTTTGGGTCGAGCAGCGGCGCGGCTAGAGGCGCGAGGCGCGGCGCGCGCGGTTCCGTTTTCCGTTCCGCGTCCGCTGGCCGCGGTGGCCGCGGCCGCGCCATGCCGAGCCGCATCGCGCACGCCCGGTGGACGCTAGGCGTCGGGGGTCCCGAACCCTGCCCGAGCGCGACGCGGCGTGGCGCGGCGCGCGGCACGGGCACCACGGCGGCGTCGGCGACGCCCAGTCGGCTTGCCCGCCTGCCGATCGGACCGCCCCCTCCCCCTCCTTCCTGTAGGCCCGTGGTGCAGACCGTAGGCAGCCGCTGGAAGAGGCGTTGGAGGCCGTGCACTAGGAGGATGCCGTCGTTGAAGGTGACGCACGCCGTCGTGTGCCGCGTGCCGCAGTCCTGGGCGACGGCCGTCGGTGTGGACGTGGACGTGGCCCGCCGCGAGCACGAGGCCTTCGTGCGGCTGCTGCGCGAGCTGGGGCTGGACGTGATCGAGCTGCCCCCCGACGAGTCGCTGCCCTTCTGCCCCCTCACCGAGGACGCCGCCGTCGTCTGCAACGGCTCGGCGCTCATCACGAGGCCCGCCAACGCCGCTCGGTCCAAGGAGGTGCGTGCACACGCCCGGTGATCTTGTCGTGCTCGCGGGCCGGCCGCGACGCCGTGACAGTGGCAATGGAGGTGTCAGTTTGACACTTGGCTGCGTCTGCTTTCTGCTCTTGACTCGCGAGCCTTGCCGCCGCCGTGCGTGTCTTCACTGCGACGGCCGGCGGCAGCCTCTGCGGTACCCGACGCCCGGGGTAGCAGAGCAGCGAGGGATGAAGTACCATGCTGATCGCTTCAACCTGTTTTTCAATATGTAATCTGATGGCCCGACGTAAACATAACCTTAAATAGCTTGCTAGCTGTCATTGGAGCATGGTAATGAAAACAGCTTTGTGGTGATACAAAATCTTGAGTAGGTCCTAACGTTTGAAAGAAACTTTAGGAAAGAAAAATTAGAACTCTATTACAGTTGACTTGTGTCCTCAATTTTATAATCTTTTCTGTCTCAGGTAGAAACTATTCGAGCGGTGCTGAAAAAGGAGTTGGATCTTCCCATCATTGAGATAGCTGATGAAAATGCCAAACTAGAGGGTGGAGATGTGCTATTTACAGGTATGTCGGGACTGGAAAAAACAATTTAAATTAGCTCTTGGATATTCTCTTTATCTTCATTTATTATTTCCTTCCAGGGCGAGAATTTTTTGTTGGCATTTCAGAATTTACAAATGAAGCCGGTGCTCGTGCAGTAGCTGCTGCTTTCCCTGAATTTCCATGCACTCCAGTCAAGGTTGTTATTTTTCTAATCAGTGTTATTTAAGATGTGCACCCTCCACAAAATCATATTAATATGGCTAAAATTGCAGGTATCTGGGAGTTCCCACCTGAAAAGCCTGGTTTCCATGGCTGGACCAGAGCTTATGTGTGTCAGCTCTGGTAAAAACTCCCAGGAAGTGCTCAAGGTAATCACTTATCTTCTCTCTCTTTGAATAAGCCTGGTTTGACCTATGGCTCATACTCAAACCTCTATTTCTTTATTCAGCGAATCGAAAGGGAAGCGACTTACAGTTATCAAACACTAACTGTTCCTGAAGATAAGGCAGCCAATGTTCTTTATATAAATGGTACTCTTATTCACTGCTCTCAAGAAGAAATTCCTCAATCGACAAAGGTAAGAAGTTCCTGTTCCTCTTGAAATTCCAAATACTTACTTATATGATTTTTCTGGTTTTTTTTTTGAGCCCTGCTTATTTTTTTCAGGCTCTTGGTGAACGAATTGACTATCCCAGGAAAGCAGTCAATGTGCAGGCACTCACTAAGAAAGGAAACGGACTCAGTTCCTGCTGCTTACTTCTGAGACGCTCAAGACACATCAGAAGCCTCTGAAGTAAAAAAAAAAAAAAAAAAACACCTAATGACCCCCTTAGTGTGTCAAGAGAACTCGGAGCAATGTTAAGACAATCAAGCCCTTGCTATGCAGGATGAGCAATGAACTACACAAATGAACTACTGTAAATCTAAAGGTGGCCTTGAATCAGTCATTCAGTAGCTTCCCACATCTAATCATTTGCATTATTGAACCACATTGGTTTCCTCTACATGAAAAATTCCTGATTTGAAAGTTGAAAAAGATAGACCTGAGTAAAAATGTGTTACGAAGTGACTGACTGGTGAAATCTTACTACCTGGCGTTCGAATTCCGGCCATTGTGAGGCCATCTCAAGGATTTTACTGCGAAAAATTTTGAGTGGACGTTGGCATTAGGATTATGTAATTTTTGCAATGCTTTGTTTGCCAAGGTTATTTTTTTGGTAACATTTCTTTACTGTTATGTAGTGTTATAATTTTTTTACATGTATATTACAAGGTATTGATTAATGAATCCTTTTCAATTTAGCATTGTTCTTGGCCTTATACCTGCTTGAATGGCATTCAAGTTACCTGTTTGTACTTTGGCTTTTGCCTTATAGACTGACTTACTTTTGTTTTATGAGTAGTGAATGTCTCTTGCTTTACTACAAAAACTCAGGTAAAATCCAACCATGTGAATAATTTTTAAGTGTAAAAAATGTACCTAAAGAAATAGGTGGTTCCTCTAACATTGTACATACCAGTGGAGCTTTCTTTTTTGTGCGGCTTCATAAAGGCAGCTAAGGTCTCTTGGCATGCAGCTTCTTTTGTTTAATGTTTTAATATGATGTTACACTAAGCATGTTATTGAGCTGCATTATTGCCTCAGAGTTCTGTTCTTCCTTTACCTCAATGTATTTTTCTATATATATTTATGTATATTTAAAAGAGCGATTTCTATTGACTTTGTGTTCCTAATTGCACATGAAACTCAGACTCACTACTGTTCAAGAATGGTTTCCTATAATAATACTTTTGCCTGTTTTTAATTTTATTGTATATTTATTGTTTAATTAAATGAAACTCTTAAAAAAATTTAACAACTTTTGGAGCCTTAGTCAAAGATCCCACAGGTGCAAAGCCAAACAAACAACTTACATAAGAACATATCATTTATTCATCTGTACAAAATTATACATAAACAATTTACAGTTTATCTACAAATTGCATTTCTACATTGAAATTGAACATGAAATGCTTTGTTCTTATATTATCAAAGACCTTTAATACAGAAATTGCTTTGGCAAGACTTGAGTTAAAATAAATCTGAGGAACAATTACTTAACTAAAACTTTAAGTTTACAGGGTTAAAACAGATATAAAATAATCTTCTTATTTGTCATTTAATTTAAAACATTACACATGCTACAAAATTTTAAAAAACAATCAACAATATTGCAGATTCCCACAAAATGCATAAATACTATCATCTATTATTGAACATGATGGTGTGGTAACCAGCCAGAAAAACATCAAGAACTAAAATTGAATTTAAAGCTCACAAGAAACAACACCTATACCACCTAGTACGGATAATCAAGAAAATATGTTGTATTCACGTCAGTCGATTCTTCTAAAAAGTCTCCTATTTTGTGAACGTTTCATTGGAGGAAATGGGAGCAGGCTTTATTACTAGCTTTGTGCTACTTGCTGAAAAAAAATATTCAAAATTACCACCAGATACAATAAGATCAACAAAGTGAGAAGAAACTACTTACCTGGCTTAACTTGTTTGGCGACACCTAATGGCTTGGAGGACGTGGGTACTGTTGTTGTATTTCTATTTTCCTTGTTCCAAGCCAACTTCACTTTGTTAGGGGTGTTCAAATTTAATTGAACTTTGGGATTGGAGACACCCCCTTTCCGATTAACATTGAGAAATTTACCACTTTTCCCTGTCAAGGAAACAAGGTTTGATCCTGCCAAGGCTAATAATAAAAATAAATCAGAACTGGAATGCAGAGACAAAGAATTCAAACAGGATACTAGTACTTGAAGGTACTCACCCTTTCTCTTGTCGCCCATTCCTATTCCTCCAATCTGTTTCACTCTAATTAGTGATTTGGTAGCAGAAACACCAGGCACTGCAAAAGTTGATGGTGCAGTTGTGCTCGGCTTCTTGACTGAAATGTTTTGAGAAGTGGATGGCGAGTGAGATAAACTGTTCAGCTTCTTGATTGCAATATTGGGCATAGATATGGAGGTGTGTGGCAAAGGTGAAGATTTCTTCAATGCTAGAGCCCCAGCTGTAGACAAAGGCGATGGATGGGGGCTTACTGCCTTGGGGGCACCAGCACTCGGAGATATAGAAGCAGCACTCTTCAGACGAGGAGATAGAGAGGAGTACACTGAAGGGGAGGGCAGTTGTCTCTTCACAGATGGCGAGTGGGAAGCTGGAACTTCAGAGGCCGATAATGTGGGTGAAAAGTGCTGAGTCGTAACCAGAGCAGGTTTAAGTTGGTCCACTTTAGATGAAGTATCATCATCCAGAGAAAAAGTGCCAT